GATTTTTAAGGAAAAAAGAAAGAAAAGAAAGATATTAAAATTAAAACACTATTCCCTTAATAGTAAACACGAGTACCTCTCTGAACTGCAGGTGTATTCTGTCAGGCCTGATGCGATGAATGTCACCGAGAAGCGGGAGAGCCCACGGTCCAGGTGGGAAGTTTTTCGGCACTCTGTTCTTCCAAATATCAGACAACAGCAGGAAAACACAGAGAAATATTAAAATGCTCCTTCCATCTATCCACTCAAAGCCAAGAACACTGTATAATGTCTCCATTTAAAGTTCTTAATGTCGCATTCTGGATTACTGTAGTGATTTAACTGTGCTGCTACCACGAAACAAAGTGCGATCAGATAAATGGGTGGACTACTTAAAACACAAAGGTGAAGCTAAGACTAGCCTTCAAAATAAAAGCTGATAATGGTGGTGTTATTTTCAGTTTTTTTTACACATAGTACATTATTACATGCAAAAAGGCTACACATAAAATTATGTATGAAGTACTGATTACTGTATCAGTAATATCGGTGATTGACATTGTGAGGGAAAAACAATTATTTCCTGCATAAAACAAAGAATAACCCACCAGCACAGCCAACCCACCTCCTAAAGAAAAGCGAACAAAGACATGTATATGTAGATATGTAAACAGTGTCCAGTAACTTTATACCATTTCATAATGATGGAGAGGCCAAACTATTGAGTGCTGCATTATTAAGTGGCTGAATAAAACAATGATATAGCTTCCAAGCAAACATCTTGTTTGTGTGCTTGGAAGTTTTTTTTTCTTTTCACAATTTAAGTCCTTTCAATGGCAGTCAAGCCTGAATACGAACTACCAAGCTAACAATTACGCATGTTTAATTCTAAAAAAACATGGTTGACTCATGTAAGTAGAACACGAGGAAAGAAAAAAAGAAGTCTGGTTGCAAATTTTGAAGCCAATATGATAACCTTATTACACCAACGATGTGGAGGTCTAGCTTTTTAGATCCAATCTGGTCTTTAAGTCTGACGTCATTAGCCGTTTCCGGGCCCAAATTCCGCTTCAGGTCCCAAAATCAAACAAGCACTGCGGCATTACATTACTGCGGAGTTACAAACTGTCTAAATTCTTTCATCTTTAATCAGTGTGGCTGCTGTAACAGGTAACAATTAAGTTTAACATCCAGGCATCCATGAAAACAGGATTAATAAAATTTGGAAGTTAGCAGGGAGTTAGCTCGCTAGTTTCCACCTAAACATAATATACCAGGTTCTGACAGGGATTTCTGAAAAAGAATTAAGATATACAGCTCTGCTATCTACAAACATTGAGGAAGACAGCAAGCTAAACAGTAGTGATGTTTGTAGGGTTACTGAAGTTAGACTAGCTGGTATATAATGATGTGCTACGTGATCGCTAGTGACACAGTTGTGTTAGCATAATAGACTTTGACAGTTTTGAGGGAGAGTGAGTCCAAAAGTCCGCAAAACTACAGATATCAAAACAACTGCAGAGTGAAAACAATTAATCCTCCTGACAACTTTGTGGTGTTTACTGCCAGGGGTATGCTACTATATCCATTAATGAAGGGTTTTTTTCAGCCTTCGTCAACGGAGACGGGCAAAAAGAGTCCCAGGTCCACTCTCAGCCAGGCCAAGTTTTTTTTACTATATTGGTTAAAGATGGGTGATGCATCACCTTCTGACAGCGAAGACGGGCAGATAGCCTCCCAGGTGCATCTTAGCAGGGCTGAGTTTATTTAACCCTTTCTTTGGACTTATCACCGTTGGCCATAACACAACCAAAGGTTACTTATTGATCCTAATTACTACATTTGAGACAGTATTGGTCAACATGTCCTCATACAACAAGTGGCACACACTTCATTAATGTAATTGTAGATAATATTTGACCTAAATATGTGGGTCTTGTGATTTAAACATGTAGGTTAGATGCTTATCACAATGATTCCGTTATGTAAAACACTCCAGCGTAGGTATATATATAGTGTACGCGAGTATATATGATTACATAGTATATATGTGAATATATATGTCATAAATTGTGGAATTCTTTTTTCTGGCAGCCACATTTTGGATCAGCTGTAGTTTGTGTTTGGTTCATGCAAATGTATAACAAATTGCATTGATCAAACAAAGAGGAATTAACAGCAAGGCATGGCAGCTAGATTCCTTTGGATCAACCTGAGCTGAACTTAATAAGTCGCCTAAGCCAGATAGAGCAAGATTGGACTAAATTGACAGTGATGCTTATTTATGCTGGGTTTTTACAATATTGGCCCACATTTATAAGCAAGGAGCCCAGCTATATATGAATAAGGTCAGTGTGCCATAGTCTTCTTTACTTACATGAAGTAATTGTGCTCTTGTGATGTCACCAATGTCAGAAGGATTTAAGCACCTGGCAACCTAGAAGTGCTCCAGTTCCTGTGACCTGTTTATCCATTTCCTGCAAAGCTGACAGTAGTGCAGTATCTTCCAGACCAAGCTCCTTTCTGGACAGCTTTTGCAAGAGGATCTTAACAAAGAGGACAACAGAACTCCAGATTCTTAAAGGAGAGTTAAAGTATTGTAAATTGAACTAAAAGAGAAACAATACCTCAGAGGTACAGAGGTTTGGATGCCCAGTTGCAGCCCAAACACTCTCCCCACAACAAGGAAGTCATGATCCAAATCAAGTCCTTCATACAATGTATTCTATACTTTTTTGGTATTGCAACCATCATGGCACACCTGCTGCTCATATATTTTTACATTTCAAATGATTAGTTTTAGAAGCATTTCTGAAAGGATTTCAATGCTCTCTCTACTCTTGCCACCCCAGATTTTCTCATTTTCTCTTACTTGTCGTTTTCTATCTCTAACTTCAAAACACACTTCAGGTAAACAAAAACCTTTGACTGTGTGTTAATGGTGTAAAGAGAAATGAAAAGTCAAGCTTCAGATTTTTTTTTAATGGTAATTGTTCAGAATTAACATTCATTTCAGGTAAAGTAACAATTTAGAAGAAGTGATTCTGTAAGCTTTCAAATACAGTGGAAAGTTTTCTAACAAATAACTTTGATTGTCCTTAAAAGGGACAGAATCCACTTTACTTGTAAAAGCAATGAACCAGGCAGGTATCTCTGAAATAACCAGAACAGAGACTCAATCCTTTCACTTGCCTTAATGTCAGAAAAAAAAGGATAAACTAATCTCAGTTTTTTGGTGGTTTAACATTTTTAGTAATTTCTGTTAGAGTAGAATAGATTTATATTGTAAAAGTTAATGAAAAAGGTCTACTGGACTACAAGAACAAAAACTAAACTGCATTAGATGAAACATGTAATAAAGGAGTGATTTATTTTCAGTTTGCCATAGTTGATGGTTTAACGTGGTACAGCACAGAGGCGGTAAGGTTTGGGACAGCGTATGCCTCCCAACTGGAAATCCAGACTGGGCTGCTCTCCAGCAGGTGGCGAAAGAGAAAACCTTTGGAGGAGGGAAGTAAACAACAGGAATAGCTCCATCCTGGCCAGCTGTTCTCCAAGACACACACGCTTGCCTGAGAATTAACAGTAAGTCATGAGTTTTATTCAAACAATTTTTTTTACTACACTTCTGCAACAAACTAAGGATGCATGCCATTTGGCTAAAAGAGTACAACAAACCTGTAGAAAATGGAAGGAAAGCATCTCTCTTACGAAATTTACCATCCTTGTCCAGAAAGTGTTGAGGATTGAAAGAGTGTGGAGTTTCCCACATTGACTCATCGTGTAGGACTGAGTCCAGGGTAGCCAGTATCATGGTACCCTGAACAAAAAAAACCCAAAAACCCCACAAAATAATCTTAAGACCTGAGATACTGAAATTGGAAAACCAACAAGTAAACAAACAAACAAATCTAAATTGTTACTGAAAATTGGTTTAATTTGCCATATGACAGAATCCAAATCCAATTTATATAGCATTTAAAAAAAAACAGAAACATCTTGATGCATGCTCATCCAGGTAAGTAAATATCCAAAATTTTATTCTTTTCATCTGGACGTAGCATTTTCAGTGGGAGCAACATTTCGTCACTCATCCAAATGACTTCTTCAGTCTCAGCTGACTGCAGGTTTCCCCAGTCTTATAAACAGTACATTTGCATAATGACTGAAACCAGCCCACTGAAGGAACAATATGCTGGGAGGCCAGTTGGGGAATGGCTGCAATCACAGCATTGTACGATGGCGAAAGATGTACCCTTAGGCCCCCTCCTCGATTCAGAGGTGGTCTTTCCCTTTTCACATAAATGGCCTCCTTGACTCCGCGTTCAAACCAGCATTTTCGCTTAGGCAGTAGTTGTCCTTCTCTCCTGGATCGGCTGGAGCTTTCTTTTGGTGCCTTCCCATCTTTGACAAAAGTCCAGCTGGGATAACCACGTTTACTCAGGGACTTCTTGATGTGATGTTCTTCTGCCTCCCTGGCCGCTGTGTCTGTGGGGATTGTGTTATGTCTCTGTGTTGTAGAGTCCTGATGACACCCAGTTTATGCTCCAGTGGATGATGAGAATCAAACCTTAAATACCGATTCATATGTGCAGGTTTACAGTACAAATCAGCTTTTAGATGTCCCCCATTACTTATGGAAATCTCACAGTCTTAGAAGGCTAACCTGCCATTTTTCATATCCTCCCTGGTGAATTTGATGTGTCGGTCCACAGAGTTAATGTGATCCGTGAATTGTGGTATGTCCTGAGATTTGATTTTCACCCAGGTGTCATCCACATATCTGAACTAATGACTTGGTGGTGTTCCAGGGTAGGATAGCAAAGCCCTCTTTTCCACTTCTTCCATGTATGAATTGGCCACGATAGATGAAACTGGGGAACCCGTGCACACCCATGTTTCTGCCTGTAGAACTGACCCTTGTATGTGAAGTAGGCCGAATGAAGACACAGTTCCAAAAGCACACCCACTTGGTCAATGCTGAGAGTGGTTCTGTTGCTGAGGTTTGGGTCATCCTGTAATCTCTTACAAACTACCTCCAACGCTTCCGTGACTGGGATGCTAGTAAACAGAGATGTGACATCGTATGAGACCATGGTTTCATCCGCCTCCATAATGACATCTCTCATCTTCTCAACAAAATCCAAATGTAAATGTACTGTTTATAAGATTGGGGAAACCTGCAGTCAGCAGAGACTGAATAAGTCACTTGGATGAGTGACGAAACGTTTCTCCCACTGAAAACGCTATGTTTAGATGAACAGAATCAAGTTTTGGGGTAAAAATCAGAAAGTTTGCCTAAAGTGCTGTACAAGAACAAAACAATAGATAAAACGAAGGATAGA